GGTTTTATGACTTTAAGGTACACCCTAGTGCCTTGAGCTTGTGGAAAGCATTTAGAGTTGAATCCAAATATGTCATAAGTCTTAAATTATAGGAGTGTTCACGGAGAACAAGAATGATATCAAACCTAGAAAAAAGCATACATGTTATCAAAGGAAACCTGCAGGTCTAGCTATTGTTGCATGTTGTATTTTAAATTCCCACTATTTTAAGATCAAAATGAATAAAGATAAGGAAGACAAAGTTTTGAAATGGCAAGATTCTGATTGTTCTGTGCTTTTTGTATGCCCCTGTGTAATTGTACAATCTATAATGCTGTTCTTTTGAAAGAAACACTCTATGACTGAGCAGTATAAGCTGGAATACCTCCTGGAGCTGGACCGCTGCTAAATGTACACTGAATAATTGAAATTTCATATCTTCTGTTCTTATCCTATTGTTTCTATCTACACATTGTCCTCTTACTTTTTGTTCCACTTTAGTTCCTGATTCCTGTGCCTACTCATACTCCTTTTGGATCAGTTTCTTCTAAGGCAGTAGTGGTCTCCACGCTTCTATGGGTTTGCATGAAATGAAGTTAACTGTTCACACAAACTGCTGCTTTTTAGGATGGACACTTGGTTGTTTTTCTTGAATGTTCAGAGTGGCGGCTGAATTTATTTAATATTGATAAACTTTGTCAATTAAGTTGTCAGAGAAACACTTAATTTTATGTGCCAGCTTGTACTGATTTCTGGTAGGTTTTAAGGGATGTGTTTTCTTCAGCCTGAAGGAGAAAAGGTGTTGACCCTTACTGATTTCTTTAGAGGGCTTTCTATTTAGGAAATCATGAGGGTGAAAGTAAGTACAGTAGAGATGAGACCCTTTGAAGTGAGTTAGTCTATGAAGAAATCAATGTAGTACAAAGGATTTGCATTGGACTCTGCTAAAATTATTCACTAATTATTCAAAAGTAAGTGTGGTACATAGAGTTCATGTAGCCTCTAAAAGGGTCAGGTTTGCAAAGATCTGAGATGTTTAAAAGGCAGTATTTGGGGTTTCAATAGTTCACTTCAGCATAACTTGTCTTCTTCCACTCTGGCTATCTAAGTATATTGGATACTATCATCTGGCTTTTGGACCAGAAGTAAACTGTATTCGGTATCATTATGCAAGCCTAACACTTCCATGGTATCTTCATTACCAAAGTTGAATTCCAAATTAATTTTATGCACAGTTAAGAGGTTTAATTTCAGAGATAAAGTTTTATTTTTCACGAATCTTCAAAAAGAACACAAGCTATTGATTTTTTTCTATATGAAAACATATTTAGAAATGATCATGTTGTACCACTTACAGCTTACTCTGTGCATATTGTTCAAAACCAATCTTAATCCTTTCGACTATTGTAAGAGGTTTGTCAAAGCCTTTTTTATAAAATAATTTATTGGGAGATGTGTTTGTTTCAGGGACTACCATTGTGTATGGAAGAACATTGCTGGTAGACTAGTGTACTAATTTTCTATATTTATAATGCAGAGTAATAAGACAATTGATGGCCAGCCAAGGAATGTAACAACATTTGTATCTAAAGACTGTGATGCAGATGCACCTGAAGGTAAGATGAATTTCTTGTGTGTCCTATGTTACATGTGCATGCTCAGCTGTTATAAGCAGCTCAGTCTCTTCATGGCTTTGATTTGCTTTGGTCTAATATGAAGCTTTGATGTATAGCTATGTCCAGAAAACAACTTGCCTATGGCTTATTTCATTGGAAGAAATGATGATTTTTAGTAGAAACAGTATGTAACAATGCATTCCACTTACACATTAAAGCAAATGGCAGATTTTTTAAAGTTATGTAGAAGACCTTAAAAATAAACCCTAGCTGGTGAATAGTTTAGCATCTGAAGTGTCACTTCAGTGTATATGTTTATCATGCAAACATGCAGAGAAGGATTCTATTAAATTTCACAATGTGCTCAGGAAAACTAAGATCTGAACTTCTCAGTGCATCTTTACAGATAATAAAAATTGCAGAATTCTCTTAAGATATAAATATGGGCTGTTCCGTGAGCAGCGACAGTGGAACTTGACATCTTAAGCTATTTTCCTGTAATCCTCTTGCTCTTAATTTATCATTCCCTATAACATCCAGTATAAGTCTTGCTCATCAGTGTTATTAACCATCCCTTTTTGACCAGTTACTTGGGCAGAAGATATATTGTGGATATTCCAAAGCTGTGAGTAGTGACTAGCAAGCGGACGGATAATTGTGGAGCTTTCTTTGACTTTCCATCTATGCAGGCCTTAATGTTGAATTTTTTTTGAGAGAATGGTAACATTTTATTTAATATTTATTCCTCTATGAAACTTAGGTAAAACTGGGAATAAGTTTTAGCCTCGTTTCATTAAAAAAAAAGCTAACGGAAATCATGCTGGATTTGTTTTTTACAATGTTACCTTTCCCCTTCCTTTCCCTCTGTATATAAACAATTTTTGCAGTTTGAATTGCGCTAGCCATTGCAATACTGATACTGCTGTTTAAGGTCATCATCAATTTTATCAATTGCTTTGGTCTCTTGTTTAAAAAAATTGATCTCAGCAAAAGATTTATGGCCTTCAGAATGGTCCAGATTTGTTCAGGCTGAAGCTCTCAATTGTTCTCACTCTGGCAAGCTTTCAGCTCCTCTGTATAAAGAGGAGTTGAATTATGTATGCGTTTATATACTTATAAAAAGGCTTGACAGTGTTAATTGATAGAAAAGATAAATGTCCTGTATTCTCATCTTATTACCAGTCTTCTGTAAGTACTGAATTCTGACTATGCTTCTAGAACTTCTTAGCAGCTTCTCAGGTTTTCTTCCTGCTTGTGTTATTGGGAAAGATAATATTTAATTTTAAACAATTTTTGTACTAGTGGAGATAACTGGACCATTTAGTTCTTCGTTCCCAATCTATTAGGCTGTGCTCTCTTGCAAGGTGGTTCCCTTGTATTTAAACTTGTCTTCAAATTCAGTATGTAGGTGTTAGTCTTATTCCTGGTGGTTTGTATCATTTCCCAAGGAAGATGTATTTTTCTCCTGTCTCCTCCATACTTCAAACATCATTCATCCACCTTTATTTTTGGCTATTTTTAGACTTAATGCAGTTTTAAGTGTTTTGATATTTTGACAAATGTAATCATTCAATTCGTATTTAAGCTGCCATATTTTTGTGACTAAAAATAGAAACTCTTCTGTGGTGGAGTTTAGAAGAACAACATCTGTCATCTTTCAAAATGAGATCACTTTGAGCAGGTTGTACAGATCTGTTTCTTGTAAACAGCTTCTCAGCTTGGCTAGTATTTGCTGGGAGAAGAATATACTCACTGGCATCAATAAGCTCATTAGTCTTGACTTTTTTTGGGAGAAATTCAAATAGTCTGATTTCTTCAGACTTTGTTGCTTAATCATAGGAACTGGGGTTGGACTGAAACTTCGGAAATTCCACCTATGCTTGATGATGTATTTTGAGTACTTTCAGTACTTTGCATGATATTTTTCCTAATTTGCTTTGATCAATGGAAACAATATAGCTGGTGCTTAAAACTAGTGTTCTGATGTGCTGAACACAAGAGCTGGCCTGTGTAAATGATAGCTTTGGTTAACGTGTTGTTGCACTGGGTATCTTTGAGTCATGTTCTCCTTCCTTAATAGGAAAGAGATGGAAAAGGTATTGATATGCTAGCCTAGTGTAAGTAGAAGATGGATGGATATTTCTGAAATGTGAATGTTAACGTGATCAAAAGGCTATAGTGGAGTTCTATCAATTACATATACAGTCAGGCCATTAAAGTGTTTTTATAAATGAAAGAAAAGTTTCTTTTGTAATGCTTGACTCTTAAAAAAAAAAAAGTTGCATTAGTGAAAACACTTTATTCACTGTTTCATCCAGTCAATTTTAGAAAGTGAAGTGTAATGCTTGCCTTGAAATACCTGCCATTTTTTAATACCTGATAACGAAAAGTAATGAAAATAACTGTTGTGGATACTACTCTTATGCTCTGTGATCAGATAGAATATGTTGGCAAGTGAAACTTATTTCAAAGGTAGGAACTAATTTTTAAATACAATTTCTCTTGCTTTTCAGGATACTAGAGCAAAAATAGATGCAAATAACTTCAGGTTAAGGTGAACATTGCCCAAGCACTTGTAGTTTTTGACTTCTCTGGTACTAGGGTTTTATCTTATGTAAACCACTGAACTGGAACTAAATGCAAATATTGATTTGTCTTCTCAGCACTTACTTTATTTTGTTTTATTTAAACTGAACTAATTCAAACAGGTGTTTTTCCTTAAACATAAAACAGACTGACCTTTTAATGGCTGTGCTGATAGATGAGCTTATAGCAATCTGCTCTGTTTTATTGAATACTCAGACATTGTAGATATGATCTCTACTTACTGTAAATAAGTACATTTTTTCTTTGAGATGGTAGAAGAGACCTGATCTGATCTTGTAGCAACTAATACTCTCAAACTTCAATATTGGTAAAACTTTAGGCTTTAGTGGGCAATGTGTTCTATATATGTTTCAAACCAGTGTTTGGCTTGATGAAAAGGACAATTACACTTTCTGAAGAGACATAACACAGTTAAAATGCAATCTTATAAAAAACACACTCAAGTATTTACAGTTAAATACATAATTCATCTGCTTTCATGCAGCAAATCTTGTCTGTATTTACTCCTGGTACGCAGGAAGTGAATCTGCTTTCTACTGAATGCCAGAGGCCATGATAGCATAACTGCATGAAACAGAACAGAAGCCAAAAAGTAACAGAGTAGGCTACATCTTATAACTCAGTAAAGTACCTTTTCTTAGTTACATTTAAGCATCTTGCACAAAAGGCTTGTGTTTTGCTTAACTTAGACTTTTTTCAAAAGCTTTTTAAATAGTCTTTTGGAGCAACAAATTTAATATTTGTTATAGGCAAAAAAAGCATTAGTTTTCAGTGTTCGATACAGTTGGGCAAAGACCTCATTTGATTGTTTTCAAGGACTACTGCCAGCTGAACTGTTGGGTCCACAATTCTGTTGAGCATAAGGTCAAGCAAAGGAGTTCAATTATGTGATTAAGACTCTTGCAGCTGGACTAATGCATTGAAAACTTGGTATAGGTTTAGCTAAACAGTTTAATGAAATTTGATGTAATGAGCAATCTCTCAGCTGCAAGCCTGTATACAAGACTTTTCCCAACCTTAATTATGAGAGCTGATAAACAGTATCTGCTTCTTTCCAGACTAGAAAACCATGGAAGTTGTTTTTAAGCATCATTCATTTTGAATTAAGAACATGCTATGAATCCCACTTGACTTGGATTCTCTCATTTCCTTAATTGGGGAAATGAGCCTTACCTGAGGCCTGCTAAATGCTGGGTACAGTCTATCTGCTGGGCCTTTTGCGTAGACCTGCACTGACTCCAACTGCATGTAAAGTGGGAAAGAAAAAAGGTTATCTCTATTTTTAAGGCTTTGAACTGAGCAGGACTTACTGGGTTAATTAGATCTGTGCCTTCCTATAGGACTGTTGTCAGCTGGAAATCAAGTGCAAGACCTCAGGCTTCATTTTAGCCTGAATAAAGACTAGATGTAGACATTACTCAAGCTGGAAAGGAACCCCAAATATGAATGCCAAAACAGGAGCATATTCTTTGTTTCTTCAGAGAAATCCAGGAGGCAGGCAAAGTGAAAGCACAAGCAAGTTGCTCAGAACCTTCAACATTAGTAATTTTGTGTTAAGTGTCTTATGACCATAGATTACCACTTCCAAATGGTTGTTTTAAATGAATTAATTTGCGAAGTCATAAAATGCTTCACAAAAAGCCCAAATGAGGATTTTAGCAAGGACCTTATCCATTTTCCAGTTACTTCACTGAATGACCTTACTAGTACTTTACCCTGAATCTCTACTTATACCTAACACTACTGAAATCCTCTATAATCTTGAGAACTCAATATAAATAGGCACCATGGTGCATGTTTGGCTGCAGAAAGCCCTGTTTGGCAGCTGTAAATAGTATGAGTAGCTAAGAGTGCTGTGAATCTTTTTCTACAGTACCTTGTTCATGGATGCAGTTGTAGAAACATCAATTCCTACAATTTTTTTCTGCACCCCACCACTGTGGACAGATATGAGCTGCTCTGAACTACCCTTCTCCCTCCAAGAGATTGTAACTGGAGAGAGAAGAGGCTGCATTTACTAAATATTCTGAAATGTTAAATGGAGTTTAGCAGTAAAGCCATTGAATATTTTCATCTTGGATCAACATCCTAGTTCTGTTGCCAGCTGGATTTAAGCCCAACAGTAAAGGGATATGCTCTAATATTATCAGTACTTCGGAATAAGAGTTGAAGCTCCTTGCAGAGGATTGAGGGCTATGCACACATTCTTAAAAAGAAGTAATGAACCCAGTGTAAGAACCCCTTTAAGAAATCTACCAACATTTTGTCTACAAAATGCCTTTTAATAAAGGCAGTTCTCTTACCAAAAGAAGGCATCAAATTTGGCCTCACTATAAATAGCAATACCACCAAATCTTTTCATCACTGAGAAACATTAATTAGAACATGCACTG